ATAGTTTATATAGGGAAATAACACTTTTGGGTATATATTTTATCCATTTTCAGCAGAAAATTACTCAAACTTAGTCAGAATCATCTTTGGTGAATGAGAGTATTACTTTGGAAAATTGGGATTCCTGCCTCATCCCCAGGGGCTAGGGCGGGGCCCCAAAGGGAACATTTACCAATATTTTCAAATTCTTATCCTTTGATGACATGACAAGTATTGTATTTCACTTAGTTTACATGCTGATTTCCACATCACATCTAAACAATACAATAAAGCTACCAGTACCTATGATATAACTCAGGTGACCGCTAAGGCCCTTGGGCCTCTTGTTTTAGTTAATTAGACTTTGCATATTAACTTTTAAATTTTAGCTTCAGTGAAATGATGGCATATTCTGTTTCCCCCTTGCTGACAAGAAATATCAATTGCTTAAATCTTCGACGTCTTAGATCTACTTGGTAAGGCAGACTTAGAGCACCAACCAGTTTTTGATTAATTAAATATAATTTGAGGGCCCTGTATTGGAAAGACAGGTGCCATGTACTAACTTCTGTGTCTGTCTGTCCATCCAGTTACCCTCAAATTATGAACTGGTTGATAGTTAATAAGGTCTGTTCTGACTGGTGGAATTAAAGTCTGTATAGTGTCTGTGAATGTCAACTGATCAGCTCTTCACTCCCTTTTTTGATGGTGTCCATTGAACCAAGTGGATACTTCTGATTGATCGATTGAAAATTGTTCGATATCACTAAAATTTGGTTTGTGTGTGTTTCTATGTGTAGTAGAACAAGTAATAGTGATAAAGATAGTGCCGTCGCTGGGGCTCGAACCTGCGACCCTTGGCTATCCAGCCTGATGCTCTACTGCTGAGCTAAAGGGAAATTCCCTACAGCTGTCACGCTTGTATTAGGCAACCTAGCTAATCAATGCTCATCTTTTACATATACTTCCACTTTTGAACTAGACATTTTCTGTACACGTGTTATGAGGATAATAGCATGGGTGTTCATACAATTATACACGATCCTAACCAAACCGGCAAGCACACCATTCCACAACATTACTTTCCCACAGTATATACCTGTTGAAATGAAAGGTTTATTCAATTTTAATCAAACAAAACATTAAAATGTAACAATATTGGTTATTTGAGTGAAGATGACAAATTTGTATGTAAATAAAACAAATTGATTTCAATGAAAGCATAATGTGAATGCAATGTACATGTGTTACTGTGTGAAAATCAGGACAATGGATTGGTGGGTTTATCTTCTGATAAAGTTAAATATTGATATTTAAATATGTATACCTGACAGAGAGGCTAGATGTTATATACCTGTGTTGCATCATAGACAGGTATGTTGTATTGATCATATTTCTAATACATTTTTAAATGAATCACTGGACATAGTTTGTCAGAGAAAGTTGGTAGAACATCCGTCTAGAGTTTGTAGGGTCCCTGGTTTGAACCCCGGTCTGGCCGTGCATTTAGCTGTAACAGTAAATTGATTCAGCTCACATTGCTATTGATGACAAACTTAATAAAGCCTATAAGTAGGGCTTTATGTGAGTTTGTCAGCAATAGAATTGTGTGTGATAGGACCATAACAATATTTGCTAAAATATTCATTATTTATATTTACATTTTGATAGAGTGTTATGCTTCATTTAGTTATTTCGAACAGTTCTTGGAACAGCAAATCAAGTGTTGACAACAGTGAAATTGATGACGTCACAATAGCAAATGTTGTTATAGTCTTATAACAACATTTGCCTTCTCAATGCATTGCAATGGAAAGATGTAGAGCAAATGTAAATGCACAACATTATCAGGAGCACGATGTTCTGATCAAACTCTCACTGTAGCAATGAACGTATTCATGTATATAACTATTTTAGTTTATCTGACAGGAACATTATCGGTTGTGTACTTTTAGGTACAGTTTTCTGAGAGTAAAATTACAACTTGGTTAGACCAAGATTTGAACCCTGTATCCAGTATGACAGGGATTCTTTTAATGTTTATTTGTCATTCAACACTTCTGGAGATAATATATTTGATCCCTTGTTATCCAGGACTTCTGATAGAGTTAAGTCTGTCATTTGTTACCTAACACTGTGCCAGTATATTCCATGACTTGCTATCTGACACATCAGGTGGTAGTTACTCCTGTAACTTGTTTCCAGTACGTCTGGGGATATTAAGTGCAGAATAAATAGTGCCAATGACAATCACACCAAACTTGATGGAAGTTTAAATTATTGATTACGAGGAGTTGTTACATTGATCTCTCTGATAAAAGTTAAATTGCTCTTTTGCTGTAATTATTAAATTCTCCAGTTGTTTGTGTAGTGAAGTTAAGATCTCTGTGTTGAACATTGATTACTTTCTATTGATTAATTAACATTGATCATCACTGATGCTGTCCACCGTCAGTAATAATTACATGTACAGTTTACTGGTCACCATCTCTAGCTGTGGTAAACCAATGTAAACAACTATTGATATCCCTGTGTGAGTTGAGTGCAAAGATATTAGTCTGAAGTCCAATCAAAGCTGTCGCAGAGGTGTCCTTTTATACAGAATGAGTGTCACTGAGTACACTGGCTAATTATCAATAAATGTTGCTGTGTTCATAAATTCATTTGTCCAATCATTAGACTGATTGAGTAGGGGAATGTAATGCTGTGGTCAAAACATTCATTCTTTAGTATGTGTGTACTGGTCAGTTGTAATTGTTAGATATTGTAGTGTTTCACAGTATGAAAGGTAGCATATAGCCTTAACATTAATACAGATAAAATGTGTAAGGTAGCATATAGCCTTAAGATTAATACAGATCACAGATAAATGTGTAAGGTAGCATAAACCTTAATTCTTCTGCAAATCACAGATAAAATGTGTAAGGTAGCATATAACCTTAACTCTTATACAAATCACAGATAAAATGAGTAAGGTAGCATATAACCTTAACTCTTATACAAATCACAGATAAAATGTGTAAGGTAGCATATAACCTAAAATCTTATACAAAGCATAGGTATAATATGTAAGGTATCATACAGCCTTAACTCTAACACAAATAACAGTTATGATTGATCGATGTATCGGAGTACACTGGAACACTGTTATATCTGTCGTTTGACAGTCTGTATTGTAATACTCTTTTGCACTTTCATCTGTTGTTGACATTGTGATATTGATTGGTTAGATGTTATTTTGGTGGAGTAAATGATATTTGCACACAGCAGTGTGTAATGTTGGAAATCTGTAAGCCTTAATCAAAACTAAATTGTATGTATCCTTTTTACAATCGATACCATTGAATCAACACTGTTTGTCATGTCACAATATTACTGGCATTTAAACTCCCGCAAGTAAAATCAGTCTCAAATGCCATGATAATTGTCTACATAGCTGTATAAAAGGGTATTTGAATATGTGATTGACTGGTGTCTTATTGTTTAGTAATTCTATAACAACTGTTTTCTCTCCGGATGAACAGCACATATATGTGCTGGAAGGATCATTATTTTTAAGTGTAAATAAATTCTTGCAATTTTGATTAAAAACAAAAACTTTGGATGTAAGCAGTTTAATAAGCTTCTGGTTACTTCATTTTTTATGGGGGGGGGNGGTGGTGGTTGGTTGCCAAAGTCTGTACATCAACCCTACTTTTAAGCCTCATTTTAAAT